AATATCCATGATTAACATCATCCACAATAAAAATGATTAATCAACCTCTCATAATTACAAAAAAATGAACAAAATGAAAAATTATGATTAGTTGAATGAAGTTTGTACGGTTTGTACAAATTAGGTGGTTTTTATTTGAACGCTCCCCTACATATATATATATATATATATAAGGTTGGGTTCACATGAGACCAAGGGTTTTTCGTGAGACCCGTAAAACCAATTTATGTTCATTGATCAACTTTATAAGTCAATGATCTAATGGTCTAAATTGCACGGTGACAATTTTATAATTATTGAGAAGTCTCGTTGCGTTTATGAATGTTCAGATCTGACAATTGTAAATCTAAACCAAGGGTTGAGAATTGATCTTACGGGTCTCACGAAAAACCATTGGTCTCACATGATCCCAAGTCTATATATATATAGAGAGAGAGAGAGAGAGAGATGGAATAATGGGTAGCAACTTTATATCCATTTGCAAACAACAACAAAACAACTAATTGCCATAATCAGAAAAAAGGGTAACAACGAAAATCTCGCGTCTTTCATCCTGAGATTCCATAATTCATCCTCAACAGATTTACACCATTTTCAATATTTCTTTATTAAACTATTTTTAAATACCAATAAATTCAAAATAAAAAACAATTCAATTTCATTCATAAAAAAAAAATAAAAAACAATTTATCTTTCTTCATGTTATTTTTAGGCATGACAACAGGATAAGGATGTGGCGAGTTTTCTAATTCCTGCCCCCGATTTCTATGGACGGCCCTCGGCCCCAACCTCAACCCCGGTTTGAGTCTATTGGAGATCCCCGGCCCGGGTCTTGGTATCCGTTTTAGTGGAGAATCTCCGTCCCCGTTCGGGTTGGGTGAGCCGGGAGTTAGAGCAAATCACCATCCCTAGTTATTTTCAAGAATTCTTTAACTTGGAGTTTTCCCCCCTACCATTATTCAATAAACCAATGATATGATATTAAACAATTAAATTAGAATGTATATAAAAAACTAACAAGTAATTAGACATTACAAAAGCTAAGAAAAATCAAATACTACAGTTACAAAAACTGTACATTAGGCCACGACGTACCCCAAAAATAACGTGACGTCAGACACCAGTCATAACAGTTGTTACAACGAGTCCTTTAGAACAACGTGAGTAACACACCAATTACATAAACCAGTACTTTTAAACTTTAAATTCAGATTAACCAATTCCCCGAAAGAGTCACTAATGAAATACCCCCATTTAGAAGCCCATTTACTCCGAAATTTAGACAAAAATGAAATTGTAATGCTGGGATCTTGGGTGGAAATCCCAAAGATCTTGGGTAAATTCGAAAAAAGGTTTTCCTATACGTTTATCACGAAATATTTCTAAATCCCAATACACCCAATACCAGATAGCTGCCAAAAAACACAGTATACGTTATCTAAAAACATAAAAATACTTATAATATATGCTATTATTATTATTATTAATATTAAATAGAAAATAAATAAAAAAATACACATGGAATTCATGATCTGACTTCCAGAACCTTTATTTTTAGTGGGGTTGTGGGGAAACAAGGTGGGAAAAGGTTGAGCATCACTCAGTCTGGGGCACATGCAGAGGACTTGGTGTCCATATTGTTTATATATATATATATATATATATATATATATATATATTAATATATATATTAATATATCTATTTCCCACATTTACTTCCATTTCAAGCTATAATTTCCCTTTTAAAAACCATTCAAAAAAGTTTGTGGTCATTTTAGCAATTACAAAAGTTTGGTTCCCTTTTTATAAATTCCCCCCTCAAAGTTCAATGATTTTCCATTTGCACCTATTCAATCATTCTATGGGATATTATCAGCTCATTATTGCGATTGTTCAGAATACCTTTTTTTTAGTTTACAAAGATCTTAGGAAACCAGGGGTGTAAATGATGCGAGTCGAACTTGAGTATCGATGTACTCGATTCGAACTCGATAGTTGTTTCTCAAACTCAAACTAGACTTGAAAACTCGCAAGTAGTTAAAAACTAAACTCGACTCGAACTCGATTACAGTTTTTTAAACTCGAACCAAACTCAAACCCATACTCGAATCAAGCTTCATGAAATTTTAGGGTATTCTCTTATAAATATCTAAAAATATAAGACATTTTAATTACATTATATTATATTATATATATATATATATTATTATATTATATTATAGAACTGATTATATTTCTAAAGCTAATTATAGATAAAAAAAATTGAGTATCTCACGATCTTTTCAAGTCTGGTATTTGAGTAGCTCGACTCGACTCGTTAATACGTCGAGTCG